ATTGATAAAAAATAAGGCCCCCGGAATTGATGGTATACCAATTGACATATTTCAACTAACAGATGCTGCCCTAGATGTGCTCACCAAGTTGTGCCAAGAAATCTGGAGGACAACCACTTGGCCAACTGACTGGAAGAGATCTATATTTGTTCCCATCCCAAAGAAAGGTGACCCAACAGAGTGTGGAAATTATAAAACATATCATTAATAAAAATATGCAAAGGAAGAAGGTAAACATATGAAGGAACCAAACATAATGTTAATCAAGAATTTGGGAAGTGATCAATGGAAGCTAATCTTCATTAAATCCACAAACTTTTATACTCTTTTTGTGTAAATACTTTTTTTAAACTTTAAAAATCAGAATAGTCACATTTGAAACACTTTCTGTACTAGTCAATATTTTTAGATTGTTAGAACCTGGTCTTAAGGTGGGCTTGATTCTGGGAAGTAAATCTTTTACAACTGCCTTGATGCACAGAAACCTTTTTTAAAAATAGACACTTGATGAAGTCTTTTGTTCGCATGGTCACGCACTGATGGTTAGATGTTCCAGTTATCTAATATGAACACAGTAGTTTTGATAACCAAAGTCATTCCCCTCCCCCATGGTTAGAAACCTCCATATCGAAACAACCAGATCCAACAAATCTCAAGCTACTGTGTGTGTGAATGAACACTTCTTTTTGCTTCATATCTGAATGCTGTACATCTGTTTGGATTATATATTGTGTTTGTGTATTTATGCTTTGATTCATAGTAACCTCTCATGTTATGGAATTGATTTGCACTGAACACAAACTGTAAATAAATGGCTGAAAGAAAAAAAAAAACCCAAAAAACAATATCATTGATATCAGATGCAAGCAAGATTCTGCTGAAGATTATCCAAAAGCGACTGGAACAGCACATCAACAGAGAACTGCCAGAAGTGCATGCTTGGTTTAGAAGGGGTCGTAGTACTACAGATCCTGTAGCTAATGTTAGATGGATCTTAGCTAAAAGCAGGGACTACTAGAGGAATGTCTATCTGTGTTTGTTTCATTGACTATGCAAAGGCATTTGGCTGTGTGGATCACAACAAACTGGTTAACTCTAAGAAGAAAGGGAATCCCAGAATACTTGATTGTGTTTACGCAAAACCTATACTTGGACCAGGAGGCAGTTGTCAAAATAGAGCAAGGAAACATTGCCTGGTTCAAAATTGGGAAAGATATATGCCAGGTATTTATCCTATCTCCATAACTTTTCAACCTCTATACAGAACAGATTATCCAGGAGGCTGGGCTCTATGAGGAGAAATGTGGCATCAGTATTGGTGGAAGATCTATCAACAATCTGTGTTATGCAGATGACACAACCCTGCTTGCTGAAACTGAGAAGGACCTGAAGCACTTGCTGCAGAACGTCAAGGACTGCAGCCTTCGATATGGATTGAGGCTCAGTATCAAGAAAACAAAGATTCTCACCACTGGGCCGATTGTCAGTGTCATGATAGATGGTGAAGAGATTGAGATTGTTCACAGCTTTAGTTTGCTTGGCTACACTACAACACTCCTTGCACCAGCAACCAGAAAGTTAAAAGATGTGTTTGATACAGGCCATGGTCTTCACAATCACTTGTTATGCATCAGAGAGTTGGACAATGACCAAGAAGGATAGAAGGAGAATTGATGCCTTTGACCTGTGGTGCTGGAGAAGAGTATTGAGAATACCATGGACTGCTAGGAAAACAAACAGATTCG